CAGGAGATGCTGGTTTAGCTTCCAAACCTTTCCCATAAAAACAAAACCAACTCAAACACCCCACAAACTTAAACCATCAACTACTGGCAAACCCCCAGAGCCTGGGTATCAGAAACACAGTAGTTCCCTAGAGCTAACTCCAAGGGTTGGTGCAAGATGAAGTCCCACTGTGGACTTAGGGGAAACGCAGACTGGTCAATGTCTTCCTGCAGGTGAGCCCCAGTGAAGCTCCCCTTCAGCACACTCCTCAGCAAGAGGTTTCCCATCTATGAACGCTTATGAAGGCTGCAGTCCCATCAGGGAACACTCAGTTCAAGCCCCTCAAGTAATGTGCCTAAAATGTGCAGGGAGTTTTTTATGTAAGATCATCTTCTACTTACCCTCCAGCCAGAAGCTTGTCTGAGCTCAAGGACAAGGAGCAGAATTAATTCCTCCATGAGCTTCAGAGTAAGTTACCCTCTTTGAAGAAGCTGGATGGGACACCCAGGAGGAGTTAGGAGGCATTGGAAACACAGGATCCACAGAAATTCAGGCTATTTTTTCTCACATGTGAGTGAGAACAGCCATTCATGTCACCACGGTCCAGGTGACACCATCATTTTTTGGGATGGGTGTAGTGATAAGATCAAGTTGCAGCATGGTCAAGTTGCAAGTGATAAGATCAAGAGCTGCAGCGATGCAGAGCACACGCGCTGCTCACCTATACCCAGTCCCAAACCCCCTTGTTGCTGCCCTTCAGTTCAACATCACGTTCACACACACACACAAAAGGCTTTGCTTGTGTGGCCTGTGGGGGTCATCTGCTGTAATAGGTCCAGCTCTCAGGGTCAGATTCATCAGGGCCCATTGACTCCCATTTGCACAACCTGCCCAGACCTGTGTGGGAGCTTTCACATCCTGAATCACTGCAGCCAAGTCACCACAGGCTGCTCCAGCGAGCAGCAAGGGGGTCACTGCTCTGGAATCTCAGCTCATGAGTCAATGCAGGAGAATGCAATAGTCACACACTGTGTCACACTGGTTTATAACTGATGATAGTCTACAGCCAAATTAGAAAAGAAATCAAGAGGTCCTTAAGAGAAGGGTCCGAGCTACCGAGGCCATGATATGATTGCACAGTTCAGTGCACCCAGGCTGACTGGAAAATGTCACTGCCCAGAAATAACCACAGCAAGCAGATCCCCACTGGAGACACACTCATCTTGTGGATGCATCCTCACTGAGGCACTACGTGTGGGTGTGTTTTCTAGCTTTCCCCAGTGACCAGACTCACCGAAGGGCCCACCAAAAAGCACAGTACAACTGAAACTGGAAATGAGGAAAATTCCAAGCACATGAGCAGCATCCCTCATCACTGTCTTCCTGCTGCAGTGCTAAGGGCTGGGGCATGCAGAGCACACCCCGCTTGGGAGGCTTGAGAAAGGGAGGAGGGAGCCAGGAGACGAGAGGCAGAGCTAGATGCTGGAGCTGCCCTTCCCCTCTATCCACCTTTATTAAAAGCAGGGTGAATTCAGACCGGTGTGGTTGCTGCCATCAGCATGATCTATGTTGAGAGGATTTTGACACATAAGATCAGAATAGCTCACACATCACCTGCGCACTGTACAGCCTTAACTGCAGAAGAGGGAAGAATCTGTCGGTCCTTTATAACAGCAAAACAGGGCACAGAAGCTGGTAGAGAACAAACCCCATCTGCCCTTCCTGCCCATGCTACCAACACTGTCCTCTGCTCAAAGCACAGCATCAGGGTGGGTTTGCTCCCTGCCTTCACAGCACCCATATATTAGCAGCTTGGGAGGTGCATTCCCTCCCTCGATGTCTCATCTGTGGGCAGGAGCGAGGGCAACATTCATGTATGTCTGTGTGAGCCCCATCCCTGTCTCCTTTCCTCTCAGCGAGTTTGCTCTCGTATCTAACCTCTCCAGCCTGTTGGCACTGGAGGCAGATGATGCAGCCTGTAGAGGTACAGGCACTTCCCTCTCCCCCTCTCCCTGGAATCTGCCTCTCACTTGTGGTCCTTGGGATTCACCCAATGTTTCTCAGAAAAAAAAAGAAGAGGACCTCAAGACAAGTATGCATTTAATAAGCAGAGAGACAAATAAGCTCCAGTTATCCCAGCAGAATTACAACACCAGAGAACAATTTTCTGCATTCCTCTGAAGGCCTGAAGGAACCCAATTGCCTGCTCTCAGCCTAAATAGGTACCAGACACCAAGTGCTCCATAAGCAAACAGAGCCCCCAAAGTGCAAAAATGAAATAAGTAAAAAGCTTCACATTACATATAAACCAGCCGTTTGCACCTTGTTATTAATGGTCTTGACTATGACCTTTAAACCCTGCCTTGCTCAGAGTCATGGATCTACGAGCCTTGGCACCCTCACAACAATTCCAGGATGAGGAGCAGGGAATAAACAAGAGCACCGGAGGAGATGCGGGAAGGAACTGGCCTGCCACAAACCCGGAGCAGGAACTGCTCCAGTGCAGCAGCCAGGGCTATGGGGTGACCATCTGCATGTGAATCTGTCACCAAACCTCAGAGACCAGGGTTTCTGACAGCAGAAGTCCTGCTGCCACATATACATGTGCACAAAAGCTAGTAACACACACACCTATCCCCAGAGAGCAAAGGGCTCACAGCATGGTGAATAACTGCAAGAGAGCTCATTCCCCAGAGGATAACTCTGATGTGGCTCAAAGCCCACATGAACTAGAGCTGCCTTAAGGAGACCCTGCTACCTAGAAATATTTATTAGTCTAAACTGCCTCACCGCTGCTCTAAGAGCTTTGTTGTTCTAACAGCACCAGTAGCCAGTGGAAAGTTTGACTCCATAAAGATGTTCAGCACAAAGTCATTGACTCTGGAGGAGAAGACACTGCCACACATGGCTGAGAATGCTCTGGAGACATGCACACGCTTGGCTGGCTTGGCTTCTCTGGGCACCCTGTGCCAGCACCTCAGCACCCTCACAGGGAAGAGCTTCTGCCTAAGAGCTCATCTCACAGTCTCTCCTCGGGCAGGTTAAAGCCATTCCCTTGGCCTGTCCCTACAGGCCCTTGTCCCAAGCCCCTCTCCAGCTTTCCTGCAGCCCCTTCAGGCACTGGAGCTGCTCTAAGGTCTCCCCTTCAGGAGCCTTCTCTTCTCCAGGCTGCCCCAGCCCAGCTCTCTCAGCCTGGCTCCAGAGCAGAGCTGCTCCAGCCGTCGCAGCATCTCCATGGCCTCCTCTGGCCTCTCTCCAACAGCTCCACGTCCCTCTTGTGTTGTTGCCCCAGAGCTGGATCAAGACTGCAGGGGGTCTCCTTGGAGTGCAGTAGACGGGGAGAATCCCCTCAGATATATATATGTGTATATACACACACACATGCATGCAACTTAACTGCATATGGACTGATACAGGCTATTACCATGGTATGGATCAGGTTGTAGGGCCTTGCTCCAAAGTGGCAAATCAATGTCCTATACTGCATGAACAGCCCTGCTAGGAAATCATAGAGAGAGCTCCTCCTTCCTCAAGAATTACTGGCACTTGCAGAGAGAGGAAGATTTTCATTACACTGCCTGTTGCCAGCTATACTTTCAGCATAAGCCCATCCCCTTTCTCTTACTGTTATGTCAGGGGAGGACAGTGAAAGAAAGCAGCTCTTGGGATGATACATGGGAGGCAGTGCTTCATTTATAACCCCACACAAACGCTGGAAAATGTTCAACTTTAAAAAGCATTAGGTTGGTTACCTTATGGGCCCCTGCGGACCAAGAAGTGAAATTACATGAACACAACATATCTATTAATCACCCCAATGATTCCACAGCGAGAAACAGCCCCAATGACATACATTCAACTGGAAAGAGAGTTGAGCAAATTACCTGCTAGTAGTTAGGCAACTCAAAAAATGTGATAGTACCTTTGTGTAGGGCTCCCCTCTTGACTCCTCAATGAATTCAAGTATTTCACTTGGATTAAAGCCCAGTCAATACATACATACAGTGGAGAGTAACAACAGCATTTCTAGCTAAACATGTGTGTTTCCTCTCAGCCAGGGTTACAAATAAGCTCCACTTACATGAGATGCGTAGGCAACTCTCCACCTGATAGCACTTTGCTTACAATGTAAAGAAGGAGTCGGGAATAAAGAAGAAAAAAGTCATTTCCAGTCTTCTGCATCAAGACAGATTACAGGTCAACTCAAACTGACCTCTAATTGATTGATTTAGGTGTTACTATACAGAACAGAGAAGGCTACAGCAAGCTTCTTCCATCCAAAATTGAGAAACTAGAATAATTAACACCACCTTTGAAAGCAGCCATCAATGTCACAGCTGACATCAATCCTTCACCAAGATCAGTGAAGGTTACACATGTAAAATCTCCCTAGTTATCATGGTAAGTATATGTGTTTATCTATAAAATGTAAGATGATGGCCAACGTTTCCTGTGCTCAGAATTTGCATTTCTCCACCAGTCTGGGCTATTTTTATCACTCCCACCCTTAAGCAGCCTTGGTTAACGTGACTCTGCCTCCTCAATGCCAAGCAGTGGACCTGAATGTGAGAAAGGAGACATTTTCTCTAATGGGGGTCATACCAATTACCTCAAACCACTTGGCTGCCACAGCCTTTTTTTCACCTCTGCAGTAAACAAACCCTTGTAGCTGGTCCGTATATGAAGCAATTCCTTTGAAGAGTGCTCCACATCTCCGCTCTCTTCAAGGCTTGATATCAACAACGATGATACTTTGGACTAACACTTGAAAGTTCAGGTCTCCCAAAAGACTCCCATGCAGATATCACAACCACTTTTGGCAGTTTCAGAAAGCAGCCTGTGCTTCAAGGCAAAGTGGTTTGAAAGACAAAAGATACACAATTAAATTTAAAGAAGTATCAGTGTGAAGGAGTTTATACTTCCATTTCCTTGCATAACGCAAGCTTATAGGACACAAACAAATCTTTGTTTGCCCACTAAAATCCAATTTAAACAGACACTTAAGAAGGCAACAAGTTCAATGTGTTAAGAAGCAACCTTTTAATAACGAAAGCAGAACCATACTTTGCTGTTAACAAATATTTTGAAGAAGGCTTATAAAATTAAATCTAAGCCAATTATCTGGTGCATCTGCAGCTGAGAAGGAAGTGTCAATACTCCAAACATCTGCTCCATTTGTGTCCTCTCCTTTCTTACAGAGGAAGTATCAGCTTCCAATTGTATGATTAAGGTACTGCTCAACAAAAACTGTTTTCTTAGGTGATTACAGACTAAGGCCAAAGAAGGAATTCGTAAGTTAAGCACCATTACCAACATGGAAGCCTGTCAAAGGTAGGAGTCTGAAGAGCACAGCTTTCTTCCTTGCCCCACACATGCAGGGGTCAGGTAACCACCTGGGGTGAGGCTTACGAGAACAATCATGGAAAGCATCTCCAGTGACACTGGAGTCATCTGATGCCAGAAACTGGACAGCAAGAAGACCTTGATGTTTTCCATAATGGAGTTGAGGGGTGAAAGAAGAGTCCCAGAGCACTGGAAGAAGCAGAACACAACAACAAATTAGCTCAGTGTCCAAACCAATGTCTTTTTACAGGCTCGAGGTATGAACACAGAACCACCCTGTATCTTTCCCTCAAGGCAACAGAGCTGATGCCATGAAACAGGCTTGCAGGAAACATTAAATACCACCCAAGACATACAAAAGAAGAAAAATGCCTCTGGAAGGCAGGGCTCCAGCCTCATCCACTCACCTTGGTGCAGGCCACTCAGCTGGAGGCCAGAACGCTGGGAGCACTCACAGGCCACAGCACCCGCAGCACCTAGGGAGAAGCAGGGGTGGGGATTAGGACAGTGTTTCTCTGTGCCACAGCATTTCCAGCCACCCTCTTCAGTGTGGAACGGGCTGGGGAGGAGGACAGTGTGTTTTCTTGGAAGTTCATGGATTCTGTGCAGGTCATCAACTCAAATGTGTGAAAACTGAACAGACCATCCACCAAGACCAGCCCATGCTTCCAGACAGGATCCATATTCTAGATGCCATCTAAACAGTTCCAGAAATAAAGATTAGGCTAAAACAAATGGTGCAAACTCCTCTGCACCTTCTCAACCCATCCCCCAAGTATTCCACTGGGACTTGAGTTATCCTTGCACAAACCCTCTTTTCACAAGGCAGCAATGACAGGACTCATTTACTTTGAGGGTTTTACTTGGGCCCTCCTGGCTTCTATCATAACCTCAAATATTACATTAAAAAGGCTTTTAAAACATAACATTCGGAGCAGTGCAGGAGCTTTTCACTGAGCTAGCTTCTTCCCTGCCTGCTTGCGTGTGGCACCTTCACATTAAGTGCATGAGTTAAGATGGAGATTAGCAAGGCAAGAAACCTTTGCCCTTGGCATCGACACTCAGCTGTGACAGGAAACTTCAGGCTTTGGGTTTTTTCTATGAAGTGTAGAACCACTCATTTCACATTGGAGGGAAGTGCACATCTCCAAACTATACACATTTTCTCTTAGATAAGCAAAAGACTCAAGTGTTTATAAATATGAAAAGTTCAGCAGCTGGCTCAAAAGTTAATTCTCCAGTCTCACTAATGAGCTCTGGGGAAAGTGGCAGAGGGATTTGTTCAGAGAGTAACACAGTGTGTCACAGAAAGCAGGACTTGCCAGACAGGGCTCTCTTTAGTCCTATTTTTCTCCCCCTAGACGGCTGCTATCAGCAAAATGGCAAGAAGTCCTTTAACGGGGAGCTACAAACAAGAAGAATGAGAAATGGTTTCTTCTAATCATGCAATCAGAAAAAAATAGCCAATTTTTAATGTAAGCCCCATGACTTCTTGCTTTGTTGTGAAAACATCAAGCAATCCATATCAAAACACTTTAGAACACGGACTGTCTTAGGATTTTGTCCAATTCCCTGCACAAAGAAGTTGTTTTTAGTAGGATTTAGCAGGAACACTGCTGCAATATTTTTTCAGTACTTTAGTATTAACTACTACTGGCCTATTTCAGTAGCACAAAGTTTGGACTTAAAGAATGGGACTGACTTGCTTGGAAGGTTAGCTGTTTAAAGGAACTTCTAAGAAGCCTATTTCCAGTGCCTGCTGTCACTCTGCATCTCTGGCTTTCTTGAAGGCAGACTTTTTGGTGTCTTCGTAAGAGATTACAGAAGGATTTGGACAAGATGATACAGAGCTACCAGTTCTCCACCTTTTCATCTGCAGTTTCAGAGGTTGTTTTATGTAACAGTATTTTTCAGTTTTCTCAATGAACTGCACAGATTATTGCCATGCCTTTTGTGCGCCTCCTCCCTCCTGTCACTTAATGAGGATATTCTGACCAGCTTCCTTAAGTAGTTGCTGGTCTCTGATGACCAAGAACAGGGTGATTCTCCAAGGCATCAGATATCTGGCTGAAACAAACAGCAAGGCTGAGCTCCTACCCACTGAGAACAACTGTACTTGTACTTCAGCTGATGTGGAGTTCTCTACCACTACCTATGCCACCGTCCCCAGTGGCACATCTTCCCTTCATCAGAGAATATTAAAAGTCCGAGTTGCAAGAGAACTGGAAAGCCACATTTGGGTCTAACTGAATCCATAAACCACAGAATGGTTTGGGTTGGAAGGGACCTTAAAGCTCATCCAGTTCCAACCCCCTGCCATGGGGGGGTTCCTTCCACTAGAGCAGCTTGCTCCAAGCCCCTGTGTCCAACCTGCCCTTGAACACTGCCAGGGATGGGGCAGCCACAGCTTCTCTGGGCACCCTGTGCCAGCGCCTCAGCACCCTCACAGGGAAGAGCTTCTGCCTAAGAGCTCATCTCAGTCTCCCCTCTGGCAGGTTAAAGCCATTCCCCTTGGCCTGTCCCCACAGGCCCCTGTCCAAAGCCCCTCTCCAGGTTTCTTGCAGATGCTTGTAAATGCTAACGCCAGCACCACTCCCTGGTGCTGGGAAACCCTTCCACCTCTGCAAGACCCCATGAAACCCCCTCTGGTGCCTGGTCCCAGGGCCGTGAGGACGGCCCAGGATAGTCCCCTTCCAGAAGGATCCGACCTGCAGACAGCACCAGCGCTTGGGTCTCTCCTGCTGGTGTATTACGCTGTATACATTGGAACTAGTAAATGCTTCATTGTGATTTTTGGCCACTTGGAACATTTTTAGCAACTTGCCAAGGTTTACCCTGTGATTTATTATGGAGGAAACAAACTCAAGCACTAACAAATGAAAATATGTAAACTCAGACTTTTCAAGTCAATACAAAGGTATTCAGCTTCTTAAAACCCTTTAGAGGCCTGCAGTTTGCTGTAGATTCAATTGCTGGAAACAACAGGTTGCTCAAGAAACAACTGAAATGTCATCTAAGGAGTCACATTTAAGTCACTTTATAGAGATTTATAGTGAAAAATTCCACATGTATCATACTTTCCAATTGTCCTTCCTAAAGCTCTGGTCTGGATTTGTTGGGAAATTCAACAGTTCAACAATTTGTTAGAAATATTTTGTATTGCTTTTTCATTAAGGCCAACATACTCCAGGTATCTGCCACCTAGAACTTTATTATCTGAAATTACTATATGTAATAAGTTAAAACACACCATGAAAATATACCTGCAATAATTAAATACATGGGGAAAAATCATTTAGAAAGCTTAAAGCACTGGAATTACCTGCAAATATAATGCTACATACAGCAAATAATAGTTGCAATACAGTATTTTTGGGTAGAGAGGCAGATGTTGTTAAATAGAAGGTAAACTTCCATTTTCAGTATAAAAATTCAACTAGATGCTAGTACCATGCACTTCCAGAACACAACAGTGTTAGCAGCCATCACAGCATTATCTGTACTTAAAATACTGAAGCAATCTATGAATAAAATCAGAAGGGTTAGTTTGATTTTGAGTATCATTGTTTCTTGCAAGTTGTGTGAATGCCTTGAATGCATCAGGAATGGGATTGAGAGTACAATAATCTAATAATTATGGGTATTACTGGGAGTTCATATTAATTCCATCTAAAAGAGCAGAATACTGGAAGATTGTATTGTCAGCTGTCAATCTCAAGAGATGAATACGGAATTCCTTTCTTTGCTGTTTATCTCAATACACAGTTTCCACTTTTACCAGCATGAAACTGGTACAGTGAGTGTCAAGAACCTCTCTGTCTGTGCCTGCCACCAGTGGGACTTGGTTGGTGGAATGATGCAGCAACATGCATGTTTCTTGACCATCTTTTCAACTGAATAGACACTATCCATCCTTTCCTATAGAAAACAAGCAAAATGAACAGACTGCAAATGACCAGACCCTGGGAGTCTTTTCCCCTCATTTGGACACGTCACTTGACATTCAAAATGCCATTATGCAAAGCCAACTAACTTGTACAAAGTCTTTTTTTTTTTTTGGTTCAAGAAACCCAGCAGAGAACTTCACCAAGCAATTCTTTGTTAGCATAACATTTGACCTTGTATCTCTTTGGAAATCATACAACTTTGCTAATGCAGTCCTTACAGAATTAATCAAGCAGATAGTTAGACCCTGGTTACTATGAACCCAGCCAATTACGAGCAGCACTGAAATTTGTCACTGGCATGTCCAACTACATTTTCCAACATAAAGATCAACAGAACTGTGTGGAAATGAGGCCCCACTCTCAGACCTGCATGACTTGGACACTGTAGACTAGAATCACTAGCAAAGCCAACGCTTTTAGGAACAAAGTATTCTTAAGCAAAAAGGCTCACCTCCCTGGTCTCCATTACCTGCTGCATTAAAACAGCAAGAAAGCATAATGCCTTTCACCCCCTTATTTTGACTAGCAAAGCTAGAAGAAATGATTCATTGAGAGTTCAGAGCTCTTTATTTGCCACTCTGCTTTACCGCATGAGCTCCACAGTTCAATAAAGGGCATATCTACTGCATGGCTTAGTATGAGAAGTGGGGAGGGGAAGATGCCTAGGCAGTTTCTCCCTCTGTCAAATGAGACAGCACAGCTTTCAGAGTGCAAGGAAAGAGGACAAGGTTACAGCCAGCAGCAGTGGTAACAAGTAAGGAAAAGAAACCTGGAAAAAAGCAGGGCAGAGAGAGGGAGAGAGGAGACACACAGAAGGTACCCATAGGAACAAACAGCTCAACAGCAGACGTATTTAGATACGTTTAAAGCAGCCTGGATTAGAAACATATCTACCTAAAAGCCTGATTGCCATTGTCAAGTGTAATTTCTGCCCTTGAACAAGTACTCAAATGACAGAACTGTGGGCACTGAACACGTTCTCCATCGAGTAACTGGAACCGGGCGAGATATAAACCCATTGGTCTGGTTCCCAGAAGGGAAGTGACAGCTAGCTAACTGCTGAACCCAGCTGGAACTTAACAGTTACTTGACCAGTGCTCCCATCCATTCCATTCACACCATGCTACTAGTTTCCAATGCTCAGCAAGAGATCTGGTTTTGCCTGCAGCCCAGCCTGCCTTTTACTCACTTCTCAAGATCTCCAGTCCATAAATGTATCTGAGGCTCTCACACTGCAGTCTTGACTTCCATGAGAATAAAATCCATACTCACCACAGTACTCTGTGCCAGAATTTCTCTGAAATGCTGCTCCCTTACCATAAGAGGGCAAATTAAAGCCATGCTGTTATAGTAGCAGTCAGTATCTTTCCAAACCAGACATTTTGCTCAAATTTCAACAAGTGTTGATCAGTAATGAGATTCTTACAAAAGGAGAGAAAATGATTCATGCCCAACAAGCATGAGACTGACTAGAACATTCTTCACCACCAGCCTCCAAGTTCAAAACATCCCACAAGTTACCCCACGACAGAGAGAATACTCACAGCTTTAGCAAAAATGACCATCAGCTCAGGGAACTGGTGCGTGAGGAGGGCAAGCATCGCCGAAAAGGAACACAGGCCTGCTGTGAAATGGATGAAAAAGGGGAGCTCCTTCTGTGGGTAAACGGAGACTTCGTGAAATGCTGAAAGAGAAAATGGAGAATTATTGGTATTTGATAATCAAGGACAGTTTTCTGAATTACTTACAGTCTTGTACCTCAGTTCTAGGCTTTCAGAGGGATTAAGTGGGGACTATCATGCAGCACGTTAGGTCCCAGCACTTAAAACTTCTCAAGCCTTTTTCCCTATATTAAATTCTTCATTCATTGGAACTAGATGTTCTTTCCAACCACAATCATTCCATGATTCTATGCTTATTAATAGTTGATACATCTTTCTCTTCCCAATCTTTTTTATCTTGCATGGGCTTTATTTTTGAAGCATTTTATGAGGCTTAGTTTTTGGTACCTACTCTTTCAACAGGACAGCGGGAAGAACTGTACAATTCACAAGCTGTCCAAATTACCTAAACCAACCGAAACAATTCAGGTGTTTCAAGGCTCTGAAGCATTAATCCTGTTACCTGAAGAGACCAGCACTTCTTCCCACCCTGTAAGAAGCCCAAGGCAACCATCCTGTTGTAGATACAGGGTAGCTCCTTAATACTTCTCAAAGATTCCTGCTTGGTAGGCCACAGTAAATTGTTTCAGAGCAGCTGACAGAGCAGACCTCAAAGAAAACACTACCAGGACCAGGTTATAAATTCTGCACATAGCAGCTCCTTGCAATTTCCAATTCATGGTAACAAAATCCAAAGAAGGCGATTAGACAGGCTAAGGACTGGCATCTGGAGCTTTCAGCACTCAAGACACTACTACTGGTTACTAGCTGAGGACCCATGTGTGAATTTGCAATTACTGGCTCAGAATACCTGCAGCTCTGAACTTTTATCCAGTGATTTTAAAGGGTTTTTAAATGCAGACAAAAACCAGTTTCTATAGACATACTTAATTCTGAAAGGGCAGCATGCCCAAACTGTGCTTAAAATCTAACAAAACCCTCAAAATTTAAGCAAGCCCTCTCACAAAACAAGAAAATGCAATAATATTAGTTTTTAAACTGAAGTCTGAGGAGTAAGAAGACACTCTACCCTCTCAGTTGTAGCTCCTGAATGCTGGCACACAATATGCTTCCATTGTAAGAGCAAGCCCAGCAGAAGTGGTTTGTGCTCTTGCAACTTGTTAATGGTCAAGTGCTTGAGTTTTGGTTTGCTTTTAAGTATATGATTTTGGAGCACTACTAAGGAGAACATTTGGGGCTCTGTGCTTAATGCCCATCAGCCATGTTTAATGTTCTCCCAGCGATTATCAGTTCACTTTAATATGCAACCAGCCCTGCTAGGCCACAGTACAGGTAACAGTAACTTGCTCCCCTCTACTGTGCAACCAAAGAAACCATTTGTCTACCATAGAACACTTCTACACTCATACTATGTGAAATATGGAGCACTATAATTTAGGAAAGGTCCCAACAGAAGTTTTTCCTACACTGAAAAATCAAAATCAAACCCAAAATAGATAAGGACAACTAAAGATAAATCTGTGTGTTCATAGCCACAAAACTGGTACCAGTCAGACCAATACAGGATTTGTGAACCATTGATTTGGTCAACGTTATTTTAAATAGATAAATTACAAAAAAAAAAAAAACCAAAACCAAAAGTGTCAAGATTTCTCAAGGAAGTTCTGCAATAAAAGTGTTAAGATGATTTTATTTATGGGTAAGTTTATATTTAAAACATAACAGGAATGCGTGAGTGATCCTGTTGAAATAGCTGCATGTGTTGGTGTTTAATTATGCTGGGAAGTCTACAATTTAGGGGTAGCTGCTAACCAAGGAATTCCTTGTGCAATATCCTGCATAAGTGAGAAATGAGTAATTTAAAGCAGTCTGGGGGCAAATTTACATTACACATTTTAAATATAACTTCAGGCTTTTGAAACAGAAACAAGTATGCGCAGTTTTCCTTTCCACAGCTGTGGTCTCAGTGGTTCTGCTGGTGCTTTTGCAGTAGCCCTTTTCAGTCCCAAGGGACTTGTGTTTCTTCATAATGTAGAAGTCTATCCCAACGGAACTCTATTAGCATGTACAATTAGCAGTCCAATTCTGATCTGAATTAATGCTATCTTCCTAAATCTGATGAGCACAGACCCCAATGATTAGTCTGTTTGCCTTATCTAAAGAAAAAATAACATGTAGGCTCATCATTGTACAAAGTAATCTTGAAGTAATGAGCAGCTGAAGAAGACTTACTTTTCAGTGTAAAGTGTTAGTATAAATCCATAAATGCATACATAGATAAAAAGTTCCAGGAAACAGACAAATATGTACCAATGAATTAATGACAGAAAGCAATATTCTGTGGAGCTGAGATTAACCAAGGGTTCTCTGTATGATCACAGGCAAGTTCTGCTAGACGCTGAAATGCAGGGCTGGAATCATGCATTTAGTCCTTGCTAAAAGGAGAGCGCTCCTCTACAACAGCAGTCAAATCCAAGACTTCTTCTAAAAGTAACTTACAGAACTGGCCCACTTTGCTGTTCTCAGAGTTGGCCAAACTTGGTCTGAATGTACCACACACAGATTTCATCTCCGAAGGGCTTGCACTGTTACGGAATCAAGCTAACGTTTACCACACATGCATGTCAAGTGCTTCAGGATCATTTGGGAGGGACAGCAACAAACAGCTGAATCCCCTTCACAGGAAGCTCCAACTAAAAAATTCACAGTAAGGTAAATACAGAATACCACAAGCTGAACATGCCCTTAGCTTATGTTTTATTATCATTACTGCTTAGAAACCACTTACTTGGCAACAGTTCTCTGTCTGCTGTTTCTGTGCAACTGGGATAGGGATAGAACAGATGACCTTTCTCTAATGGGTATGGGATCATCCTAAATGCTGAAAAAAAAGAGTGGGTGACATTAGATCTGTATCTAAACCAAGTGACAAAGAGAACCAGTTGTGCTGGAGATGAATAAAAGCAGAGAGACTAATCTACTGTATAGGAAAAATAAACCAAGGAGAGATACTTACTGCCTTCCCACGTGCAGTGTAGCAGATTTAGAGCCCCTTCTATCCTCTTCCAATGCTGGAGGTGAAAAAAAGCATATGCTACTGCCTCACTGTCCCCTCGCTTCAGAATATGCTCTGGAGGTAGCACCAAGCTTTTCATTTCTAGTAAATACTGAAAGTAAGAAAGGAAAGGACTCTTATTACATGGAATAGTCAAGAACTTTGAATTGTGAAACATAAATGATCATTTGAGGCACAACTGAGCATATCACAGGGGCCAGCTTCTGCCTATTGAAGAACCTGCCCCATCCCACTATAGAGCAGACAGCCCACATGGGAAGTGAAAAGCAGCAAAACACATGTTTTATCTAAGACTCAAATTGGGGTTTTCACACACAAAGCATAAGGAAAAAACCTGCATCTTCAGCAAGGCAAAATAAAAATACATTCCTGTGGACTATACATACAAGTGTAATGTTGCAGGTACAATACCAATGGGCTACAAGTTTAGGCTACTAACAACCAAACCACTGAGGTTATTTTTGCACATCATTTCATCACCCACAGTTTCAACATGGGAGGCTAAGTACTTGTTAGCTCTCAAGTATGAGGAGCAAACCAGAAAGTGCAAGTGTGCTAACCAAAGGAATAACAACAAACCTAATCCAGGAAAATCTTGGTTTCATGTGGTTTTGCTGGACTACCACAAGGTATCTCTCGCTTTCAGGTTTTTTCAGTTGCAGCCTTGTCCCTCCATCAGCAGAATAGCTGCTGCACAGCAGGGTCAGGGAACACAAGGATCAATAGTTTTCCATTTCCCTCGAAACACAGGACATGCAATTTTATTTTCTCATAGCTATTAAAAAGAAGGGCAGGTATTCATTTGAATTTGGCTTTTAAAACCTGATGAGTAACTTTTACAGGAATGAAATGACAGCTTCAGCTCCAGTATTTACCTGTGAGTCGTTCTTTCCTACCATGTAGTGTCTCATTGAATCACAGCCAAAGTTAATCCACATTCTTTGATCAATGTAGCTGGCAATTCCTTTGACTGTCTCCCGAAGTGTAAGAATGCAGCTAACTCGCCGATTTATTTCAGCAGATGCCACAAACTATGAGATTATTTACTAATCCAGTTTGAGGACTTAACTTTTCCCATTCAGATTCTTGAAGGAATGTAGGAGGGGTTATGCCCTAGCCAAATAAAGCACATTTACTGCCTGGCTAGGTTCTTCTCTTAGTGCCTTGGGCCTGCACTCCAGAGGGGAATATTCCTGCTAATCCCCTCTAATCCTCTTCAATTTTTTTCTTTTTAATTTATTTTTGTTTAACACAGGGAAGGATCACTCACACTGGGCTGCTGTGGGAAAATGGTCTCCAATATCTGACCCTTGACCTGACTCCTCATCACTACTAACCACGCACAGCGGTGGGGAATGAAGCCCCTCTGCAAGTATTGCCACAACATACCAGTGCATTGGCTGTCTCTGTGCCCATGTTACCCATAAACAGCAAAACTCCAGAGTCTGGCAGGTTTTCATGTCAGTGTTCAACCATAAAACAGGCAAAGTCTCACCCCTGAAAATACCTTGGGGTTTGCAGATTTGAGAAAGTCTTTGCACACAAGATAAAAGTCTAAGATATTCAGAAGATGATTGTTTCCTACATGACCAAAATGTAGTTACAAATCTCTAATGTGAAACAGCTCAGGAGGGCCAGTTCTCTGGCACTGTAAAATGCTTTCCTCGGTTGCCAAACAAAACGCATCCTTGTAAAAGCAGAACTCAGAACAAAGGGAAACAAACATTATTTTCCTTATGCAAAATGATGTTACGTGTAAAGACAACCCCTTTCATCAGATGCAAGAAGAAAGGGATTTCAACTTTACAGACTCATTTATTTTTAGTCCATGGGACAGAACTGACTACAAATTCCAAACCCAGATTTTCTTCCCCACTAGTCCACTGACTTTGCTTGGACTATGAGCATTTCAGAGTTCTCGACAGCCAGCACCAATGAATTCCTGCCCTGCCATCTAATAAACTCATGTTTCAAAGCACTACTGTAATAAAAATCAATCATGAAGACGACTGGATAGGTACACAATTAGAAGAGAAGATCAAACTGCTGAAACCTGGAACCAATTTCTGTGATTGTCTATAGATCTACAGAATATATTTTGCTAATAGCCTGTTTGAAATGGTATCTTAGCTTCTTTTAAAATGTATATGAAGCTCCTGAAACAACTGGAGGATACACAAAATAAAAGCACTTCTAGATAACGATAATGCGTTATAATCTTCTTCCCCTAAAGGCAGAGGCTAAAGAAAAATCTGTCTGAGACTGTCTGAAATGAACTTGCCACGCTCTTGATCAGTCATGCACACAAGCAGCAATTTCTCCCAGCAATTAGCTTTCTCAGTGCACATTCTATTAGATTGGACAGGCAGACAGAATAGAGCAGCTGGATAATTCCAGCCCTCCCAGCACCGGTCACTGGGACTCCGTGATCATTTGGAGAGGATTAGGTCCAGGACTAAGCCAACCTACGGCATTCAAGGTTTCAAGCTGAACACATCACCAACGCTAGTACAGTAAAAAGCAACATAACATTTTATTTTCACCCAGTGGAATCTGTACCTTGGCCACTTCAAGTAATGCCAGTAACTACATTACAGCCTGTAGCAACACTGATTCTGAATCTTGTTGACACGTGGATGAATAAACTAAGTGACTGTAGATATTTGCATAAGCTAAATCCTGAAGCGATGCGTGGAAGCACAGCAGAAAAGTGGTTTGAAACACTGTGAGTGGTTATTGTTTGGAGAACTTGATTTGGCTTCAAGGATTTTAAGTATCCAAATTTCTCTGTATTAGTGCTTACCCTTACCCAGTAAAGGGACTTCAGTAACAGATTAATGGATTTTCCAATGAGTTAGAAAATTCTGAGTTTATATGTTTTTAGAAAACCCTGTTTGATCATCACCTATTGCAAACAACTAATTCTGGCACCAAACATTTACGACATAAATGCTGATTTAACTCCTCAGTGGCTGGAATTACCCTAACCAACCCAAGGGAACATGGGGCTAGAAAGGCAATAATATAATGTGACTTGCTTTCAACAGACAATAGGAAGCAGTCCAATAGGAAATAAAATACTCCTACCTTTGGAACATGAGGGTTAAATTCCACAGCTCTGTGAATTGCTTCCACAGCATTAATTTCTGCTGTACTGAGCCCTCTTTTGGAAGCAGTTTCTGGGGAGAACCTGAAAGGAAAAACCCATACTGAACGAAAGTAATAAATAATAAATGCTAACCAGGTGTTGATTTGCATTGTAAGCCTGGAGTTCATTAAAAATCGGCTGATTTATCAGGAAAGATAAACAAACCCTTCTAGGAGACAAATGGTCACGTTCATTTAGGTATCCTGACTGTCGCCCACGCCCATATGACAAAGTTTTGTTTAACTTTTTGAAACAGCATGTCAATCACATAAGGTAACTGAGTGCCCAGTCATTCATATCCCTGATACAGCATCACCTACTGAGAGGTAAAGCTAGAAATCAGCTGTGCAAACAGACCAGGGTGAAAGCAAAATGCCAACATGAACTATCACAACCATCCCACACCCAATCCAACCATCCCACACCCAATCCCCAAAACAAAGAAGTGTTGAACATCACAAGCAAGATGCTGAAAACAAGACTGATACAAAAGCACACATGTACACATGGGCCCTTGAGAAACATCTTCACCTGTATTAACTTTACGGATGCTTTAGATTACAGATGATTTAGAAACTTTAGATTGCATTTTAACTACACACACATATGTACGTAGGGATACGCTTAACTTGCTCTTAGAAACGCAACTGCTACATACTGGATTTAGACCTTTTCAATTCACATTCAGACTTTTAAAATTCATATTTACAGCATAACCCAAGATTAGTAACAAATCACTGTTTTCACAAACATGCGTGCTTACCTTTCTGAAACAGCTCTGGCTTTTAACAGGGCTGCTGTGTAACATATTGCTGCTGACTTTGGGAGACTGATATCTATGATAAAATAAAACAATAAAGCTGTAAGATCCTAAGGCAAGACAAACATTTTAAACCCACATCCTTTGAGCTTAAAGATTTTCACTTGGGTGTACCAGACAATGAATGTAACATCTGGAACATTTCAGCTAGGATGAGAAACTCTGCATTTCTTTGCACAGTCTCCCTTCTGCTCACCAGTCAGATTAACAACTGATTAACAACTCAGAGCTGTAGTTAGGTGGTAAAGTGTAATTTTTTCTTCTTAATGTACCAAAACATTGAAACTGAGTATAAAGAGACATGCATGTTTAAATACACACTTAAGACTGGTGTGATTTTCCTGTATTAACCCAAGGAGGTTTAACATAATCTTCTTTTACCCGATAACTGCAATTGTACATTAACAGCAAGCTTTACACAATGCTAAAAGAGAGACTGACTTGAAGCTGACCAAAAAATGACACTACTGACAGGTAGACAAATTTGACTGAAGATGCAATTTCCATTTTTTTCCAGTTCCATGGGGAAAAATTCTTTTAGTTGTAGTTTTTTGTAGACTATCTGAGGCCAAGTTTGAGCTGACAATTACAGATTAGAAGGTTAACACTCCACAGTACAAGTTTACTTTAAAAGCAGACAAAGTCTGGGGTCTAATTCCCAAGTACCATGTTGTGTACAGTCAGATGGCTCTTGCTTTTTTTTTTGTAAATCCCATCCTGGGCTTGTCCATCACTTACTAGAAGTCTGGCTGTCGTGTCAAGCAAAACACAGGGGTGCTACAGACTGCCTGAAGCTCATACTCATTTTTCCAGATGCTTAGGAAAAAATCAGCAACCTTTTCTTCAGTGTCACAATTCCTGATTTTAACGTGAAGAAGCACGAGGAAATAAGGAAACAGTTCTGTTAAATTAATAAGGATCCACACAGAACACCATGGACAGCCAAGTAACAGGAGCAGGCTGCTAGGGTGGCCAAGCACAAGGGGCACAGGATTCGGGCAAGAATATTCTACTTTCAATTCACTGAAGCAATAAAAAATAGACATAAGAGAGAACATGGCAACTGCTCACAAGCAGGGAACAACAGCCACAAAATACTGTGGCTGTGTCCCTCCATTCTGAACGTCAGGGACAGCTTTGACAGCAGCACTAATGATGTGGGCATTACCTAGGTGGCAAAACTGTAGGGACAATAAGAAAGTAAGTACATATTTTATCAACCTTTATCTAGACTTGCACAGTACCCAAAACGTATTAACTGAAATGGAAAGTGAAAGCAAGCTCCTGCCATTTAATAGACCAAAGCTTGCACACCACTAATCTCTGACATGCAGCACGCTTGCACATTGCTAATCTCTGGCAAGCAACCTCAGTTTACAGAATCATGAGGCCAAGCCTAGAAGATAATAGAAGGGAAAACTACCTGTTCCAGCTTATTTACAGCAATTACTATAGGGGCTATGCACTGACTGATAAAAGCCTGATGAATTTAGGCATAATCAGGGATGCAAAAGAGATTAAAAATTTACAATATCCTTGAATTGAAGCAGAGTGAGCGCAGGAATTTCTTTACAGATTAGAAGTCACCTAAAAACACAAAATAATTTGTGTGCTATTTAGCTTGCCTACATTTGACCTCATTGTTCAAAAGAAAAAACTTAACTTGGACTCTGGAGCTTCCTATTTGTTGCTGATGAAGTGAATCTACTCACCTAGCTGAGCTTAGCAGTAGACATCTTCTGGACAGGCACACCTTGCCCTACTCACCTACACTCTTACATAAAAACACCACTGTTTCCCCAACAGACATCACTTACCATCATACTTTGCTAAAACTGCTTGGACATCTGCATAGGCCTGTAACTCCAGCAGTGCCTCCAGGAGGTTTTCATGAATATTCAGCATGCTGAGAAGTGGAAACTCTTTCATTAACTGCAAATCAATACAGAGAAATATATTAAGCCCATGCAGAATTGCACCTGAAACCCTGAAATACTTCACAGAAATCAGTACAACAATTTAAGCTCTTTCAACGTTCTCTTCCTTCAAAGTGTTAGAAACTGGCACATAAGCAGCATGAAAAGAATCACATCATTTCTACTTTAGTTTTTCCCTATATTCACCTGCTGGAAAATAAGTAGACTGAGGCTCACACAACACACTCTCAGCCCAAATTTGCACAACTCCCACAGTGAGCTGGTTTGGTCAGTAATATTTTCCTATGAAAAAAGAACTTATGATGCACCTGGGGCAAGTGAAAGAAGCATTGTGAAGTCTAAAGCTCGCTATTTTGACAAGTTAAGAGAAAAGCATGAAGCAAACTGGACAGCAGAAACATATGACATTATGCAACTTAAACCTGACATGGAGGAACAAAAAAAACTGTTCTCAAGAAATCGTCAATAACAACATACAAATCTCATCCGAAGAGAACTGAATTAGATTCATTATGATGCCTAGAAAGGAACATTAAACAATCAATTTGGAAATGTGACAAAACAAGTTGCTCTCTTTTTACATTTTCACTTACATCTCTCATCATTTTTACTGCCTCTCGGATTCTTCCAAGTTTTCTGGCACACATAGCCAGTCTCCTTTTCACATATACCAATACATTGGTGTCTCTTCCTGATAACAAAGACAGAAAAAATTAGGCTATCAGTTTCAAACCTTCCCTCTCTTTCCCTCTCTCAAAAGCCCCAAACCACCCAAAATCCCACAGCCTTCCCTGTGAGGGTGCTGAGGCCCTGGCACAGGGTGCCCAGAGAAGCTGTGGCTGCCCCATCCCTAGCAGTCTTCAGGGACAGGTTGAAAGGGGCTTGGAGCAAGCTGGTCTAGTGGAAGGTGTCCCTGCCCATGGCAAGGGGGTGGAACTGGATAAGCTTTAAGGTCCCTTCCAACCCAAACCACTCTGGGATTCTATGAACCTTTTTCATAACCACACGTAAAAGCATAAAATAATTACTACTGCTGTCCCAAGCAAGGCCCATCTAAACCAATGGCAACTTTCAACTAGGTTAAATGAGAAAAAAAATAATCTATTTTTTCCTAAAAATAGTTGGTAGAATAAGAGCAGATACTACTGGCACACACTAATTGCTTCAGTAATTTGCTCTACCTATCTATCTTTCCCAGAAATAATGTACTGAGCCTCAGCAAGACAACCCACGATGAGTACAGAGCATAACTGCCACTGCCTAAGATTCATTCAGGTGCTATGTAAGATCCCATGGCATGCCACGCACAAGCATGGCTACAAGAGTAAGAACTCCTTCACTGAGCTGGGAATCTAACTAGAATCATGAATTTTAACTTTAGCTTTACATTTCTGCTCACACAAGACCAAGAGTTATGAGTCCTTACTCAGCTGTGCTTCATGCTGCGGACTTTGGGAATGGCAGTTCTGAGACTTTCTGTAAATCATTTCTCCTGCTTTCAGAGCCTGCTTGAAATACTTCTCAGCATCCACAATAGTTGTTGCTTCTTCCTCAGCCAGGAGGACATATGCAGTGGCACAACTGTAATAAGAAAGGCATAAAGTTTAGTGTTTTTTAAGCATTAGAAGCATTAGACCTCGGCAGTTTTCACTGATGTTTAGTATCAAAGCACTAACAATATTCAAGTACCAGAACATTGCCTTGAGTTCAAATGGTGAGCGTCAGGAAAACAGAAACCTTTTCCATGTTACAGAGTACGCATTTGGAGAAAGAACAAAAGAATAACAGCAAGTCAAATTATTTCCCTTGAAATATTAAAAATGCTCTGGCAATTGTTGGGAGAGAGTTTTTGTGGTTGCTTTGCTTTTTTTGAAGCAGGAGATAGACATTTTGCACAAAACCAACAAGACTACATAAAAAGCAGACCACAGAAGTGTGTGGAATTGTTTGGTTTGTACTATAAGAGTGTTTTCAAACCCCTCACAAGAGTGACATCTGTGAACTTCCAATACAGTATTAGCACGATGCCACCTCTGAAACACTTCCAACCTCTTCTTCAATTGAGACTGTTCCATATCTGAATAACATTTCTCATTGGTTATGGCTACTGATACATAGATTAAATGGCATCTTTCCCAAGAAAAGAAGGTAACAAAAGCTATTTTATAATAGAATGGTTCAATACTTCAGTGCAACTGGCAGCCCATGTACAATTCTCACGGTCACCCTTAAGCTATTCAGAATTATCAGAACACTAAACTGGCAGCGCGCTCAATATCACTCCATTTAATCTTCCCCACTAGAAATACAGCAATTGAACTTAGACTCTAAACTTACTCATTGTTCAACTCTAAAGCTTGGTATGCTGCTTTGATCCGAGCTTGAGGGTTTCTCTCTCGCCACGCTTTCTGCATAACTGTGGCAAAAACATTGAAAGGTTGATGAGGGACAGAGACAAACACCTGAGAGCCAACAGACGTGATGCTAGCTGCTCTGGGTCAGCTCCACAGTAACATTCACTTCCATTCTGCAAATTCCTCTTTGCTATACGACTGGTACAGGGAACAGTAAACAAGAGTTTGAATTCCATAAGCAGCAGACTTGCAACTTCTCATCATGAAGCAAACTTAGTTCAAGAAAGCAACACCGTCAGAAGATTATTCTCTGACCATGTAAGAACTCCTACGCTGAGAGCAAAGACAGCTTACACAACCAGGCAGATGTACAATTTCTACACTGCTACAGATTTTTGGAAACACTTCCCCAGGCTTGCTGAAAGCTTGGCAGGAGCAACTGTTAAACACAGGTTCTTGCACGGACCCGCACAGAGTTTTATTTAAGCTTTCAAACAGAACTTCAAAGGAAACGGGGACGGAGTGTGCTGTGTCTTGCACAGGTACTGTTTCATACATAAGGATTTAGACAACTACCAGATCACACAGGGTTAAATTACTTGTTTTTATATTCACAGAATCCCAGAGTGGTTTGGGTTGGAAAGGACCTTAAAGCTCATCCAGTTCCAATCCCACATGCCACAGGCAGGGACACCTTCTACTAGAGCAGGTTCCTCCAAGCCCTGTCCAACCTGGCCTTGAACACTGCCAGGGATGGGGCAGCCACAGCTTCTCTGGGCACCCTGTGCCAGCGCCTCAGCACCCTCACAGGGAAGAGCTTCTGCCTGAGAGCTCAGCTCAGTCTCCCCTCTGGCAGGTTAAAGCCATTCCTCCAGTCCAGTCTCTACATGCCCATGTCAAAAGGCCTTCTCCAGCTTTCTTGAAGAGGCCCTTTTAGGTATTGGAAGGCTGTTACAAGGTCTCCCCTGGGCCTCCTCCACTCCAGGAACATTTGAGTTGAAAATTCAATTCAAGATATACTATAATAATTTATCGCCTTATCAGAATGTGTCCTAGGAACAACCAAAAAGGGTGAAATTATCTATTCAAAAGGGTCACTTGAATTGCAACTTGAATTCAAAATCAGTCAGATAAGGAGCAAACAAAAGCTCAGTGGAATGACTCTGAACTCTTTCCCACTATGCTTGTATTAGGGAAAAATGGAAATCCCAAACTGAAACCCAACTTCTAAGCAAAAGGAAAACAACATATTTGGAGCTACCGCTTTTCGTGCAAGAACTAACAGCTTTCACCCTAAATCTGGAGGTCTGAAAGAACTCCAAAACTCATGGAGTTACGTATCTGGCCTATCTCAAGTACGATAAGAAAACTGAAGAATCTATACATGTTTCTTTTGGAACAAAACCTTCTGCTGTCCAGCAAGAATAACGTGGAAAAATGTTTGAGTTTTCTTTTGGAAACAAAATATTAGTCTTGGCTTAGGGAGCGAGACAATACACTCCATTTTGTGAAACAAAAACACATCGTTCATGTCAAGCATGTCACAGCCAGCTGACAAGTAACACTTGCCCAGCTTGACAAATTGACAATGGTTCACACCCAGCCTGACAATAACCAGGTAGAGAACGTTTTCTGCACTGAACATGTGGAGCACAATGGAAGAATTCTGCAGACTGCATTATTCATTACTGAGGTTTAAATGAGACATCTCTGGCTGTTGAGAATACAATCCAGGTTTTCAATATTGTGCTGTTAACTATTTGAAAAGTGTGAGACCTTAAACTAAGTCAGGATCCTGACAGCCTCCAAGTTAGTAGAGAAAGCACATGGCAAAAAAAAAGAAAACATCTTTTCACTAAATACATCTGTTAAACCTCATTAGTAGTTGAGAAAAACTATAATTTCACAAAGCATTTCACACAACAGCTTGTGCTACCACCAGTATATATTAAATACCCACTTTACACTCTCCAGCAGTCAGATATGTCATGCATAAGACACTGGTACCTGTATCTGAAGGCCGAAGGGCATCTGTATCACATGTGAAAAAGTTCTGATGATCCTGAGCAGACAAATTCATGTCGTAGTAGGTAAGAGGCTCCTTCCCAGTCACCCACATGTACCTTTAACAGGAGAAATCTCAGTAACAGGCACTCCTAGACAATAACAATGCTGATATCAAGGGGGCATTGATGTGCCTAACAACTGAAGCTAGTGCAGGAAAATTCAATTAATAAAAGACTGGAGCTACTAACCAGAACTTTCAAGTACTACTGCCCCATAAACTGTACAGATTGGAAAGTACTAACCAACCTGAGATCTGACTTCCTAGCAAGCAGGTTTTCCTATGAGACTTACAACACAGTCCAATCAGTTTAATAAAGAGAAGTTAAATTCAGAATCACTGTCTCAACCTCTGAATAAAGCTTTTCCTCCTACTTTACTGCCTCTCTCTCAAAAAAAAAAAAAAAAAGATGTTATAGTAATATTTGCATTCTTAACATTGAAACTGCCAAAACTTGGATAGGTGCCTTTTAAACACAGGATTGGCATCAATCACCACTATAATCCTGCAGGTGCCTCCTGATATTACTAGTTTGAGCTCTGTACAGAAGTCATGTGTATGCCCCCAAATTCATTTTAACAACATGCAATGGCAAGTAGGGTAATAAATACCTGCTGTACTCTGCCCCTCTGAAAAGATTGAGAGGATTTCGCCACACTTTGCACTCTGAGGAAAAAAAGAATATGAACTTTTAAAATATGGAGTCCAGGCAACACTCCCCTGACTTTGAAATACAGGAATGCAAGTGCAGGTTTACCTTCTAAAGGTGCTTTAATTGTATCACTACACAACCTGAACAGAAACATATGATCCTCTCTATAAACTTCTGCTATTCCATAAGCATTGTTGCTTCCCAGCATTGCTGGGGTACAAAAGCACATGGTGGAAAGATCAAGCACTGCCGTTTACATTCATGCAATATTTATCTTGCACATATTCAGAAAATAAAATATCTAATGTTACTGAAACAGTTTTAACTGAATAGGTAAAATACTTTAACCGTATTTTTAAGAATAAACATTTTAGATCAAAGACACATTATTATTTATCATAGAATGGTCTGGGTTGGAAGTAACCTTAAAGCTCATCCAGTTCCAACCCGCTGCCACGGGCAGGGACACCTTCCACTAGAGCAGCTTGCTCCATGCCCCATCCAACCTGGCCTTGAACACTGCCAGGGATTGGGGCAGCCACAGCTTCTCTGGGCACCCTGTGCCAGCGCCTCAGCACCCTCACAGGGAAGAGCTTCTGCCTAAGAGCTCATCTCAGTCTCCCCTCTGGCAGATTAAAGCCATTCCCCTTGGCCTGTTCCTACAGGCCCTTGTCCAAAGCCCCTCTCCAGCTTTCTTGTATGCCCCCTTCTAGGTATTGGAAGATTTTGCTTATTGGAAGATTTTGTTTACCTTTACCATTATTAATAAGCACTAACGTGGAGTCAAAGCCATTTAAAAGCCAGTTCATGCCAACCAGCAACCTTGAAGCTTAAGGAAAACTGCTGGGGCACATCAGCAATACCTGGCATGTTCTGCCTGCTGGTCTCACTCTCTCCAGCAGAGAATGCCGCTGGTGCTGGAGGGCTGTTTTCTGCCCCCCCAATGAGGGGCCTCAGGTGACTCACAGAAACCTGCTCAATGAAAGATGTGCCGTACTTTCGGAAATGCCACCACTCAAACACCTGTTACAGGAAGAAAACACCAGAAATTCCTTAGGTGACACCCTTCCAACAAACATCAGAGAGGAGGAGCCCGTTGGTCACAGCTGGTACATCCCCTTGCAAATGACTGTAGACAGAACCCATCTGCTTATAAATTAACACCAATTATTTTGGCCTGTCTCGTCATGCAGGATGCCATGAAAGAGACAAAAAAAACAACAGTAAAATTTTAGTCAAACCTATGTTCCTCCCTCCCCAAGTCATTAGAATAATGTCTAAACCCTTTCAGTTGGGTTGTGGCTGGAACTGGATGGGGCAGCCCCAGCTTCTCTGGGCAACCTGTGCCAGCACCTCACCACCCTCCCAAGGAAGAACTTCCTAGTATCAAATCTAAATCTACCTTCTGATATCTAATCTAAATCCTTCAGTCAAGTCCCAAGCAACACTACTGACTGCAAAACAGTTGTGTCTGCCATAAAAGACACTTTTTTTTTAGTGGTGGCTACAAGAAAACCTTACCTATGAAACAGACTTTGCATATTCTGGTAAATAGGTTTAACTGATGTGAAAAGACATTTTCTTTAGGTTCTAATACTGAAATAGAGATTAACCTAAAAGATTTGCATGTAGCACCACAGGTTTAGATGACCCTCACTGAATCATTGCTTCATTTTCACATAGTTATACAATGACACTTGCATAGCACCACCCCCCCCCCGAGTTACTGTGGGAAGCCAAACAATCAACCAGCTGGGTTAAGGGAAATACAGATCTCAGTGTTTTCTATACACAGAGAGGCCTGCAGAGTTTGCATGTGTTTGCTGCATTTTTCACATATCTATGTATATACGCACATCTGTGCACATACATATGGACATGTACCTCCTTAAAACAAGTGCTCTTCCTCAGGCTCACCCTAATGTACAACACACATAGCAAAATAGTCATACAATGCATCAGAAAAGATACTGAACAAGTTCCTTCCTAGTACAAAAGCACCCTCTAGAGTCTGACCAGAAAAGAGCTGAGTGCATTTACCCTTAATAAAGGCATCTTAGAGGTGTTAAAAGTCGTTTAAAACAAATAAACGTGGACTACTTACAAATATCAGTCCAGATATAAAAGATGAAGTCACTGTAAGGGCAAAGTAGAATTTTGGAGTCAAAGTGCTTAAGAACACAGTCACTGTTAAGAGAAGCAGAAACAAAGACTTTACAAGAGAACTGAAAAACACAAAGAGGTTTTTATTAAACAATGCCAAATGAAATATGCAAATTACAACGTGAGCCTAATAGCTTTACAGATGTTCCTTTGTTAGAGAATTCTTGCCATCTAGCATTACTTCTTGTTTGCAACCATCTATTACAGTAAATTAGGTTATATACCCAATCTAAAAAAAAAATTCAGTGTAAAATCTTAGAGCAGACGATGGGTTCAACCACATCACAGCCGCTGGCCCACAAGCCAATTTAATGTATTATTTCATTTTAATCCCAAATGGAAACGTGCAAGTTGATCCTGGACGTTAAGCACACATTTCCCACAGACCTCCCTTCCCGGTACTCCCAACACAAGGCAGTTTTCCAGCACTCTCTGCCCCTGGGTTTGACCCTACTGCACATCAGCTCCGGCCCCGCCGACAGCCCAGGCGGGCAGGCGGCCGGCAGCTCGGGCTCTCCCCCGCTTCAGGCTCCAGCCACCCCGGGAGCGGGTGTCTGCAGGGACACGCAGCCGGACGCCACGGGACAAGGCGTGGGCCGGGTGGCGGCGGGGCACGGCCAGCATCGCCCCGGGCACTGGCCGGGCCGCCTGGGACGCGGGCCCCAGCGAGAGCCCCGGGGCTGGGTGGATACGCTCGGTGTGTCGCTGCGAGAGGCTCAGGAATGCAGGCGCCCGGCCCTACCCTGCCCTGCTCAGCCCGCACCAATGACCCGAGAGTGGAGCTCGGTCTGGACAGGGGGAACCGTCCCCGCCGAGCCCGCAGCCCCCCGATGCGGCCCCGCCGCGTCTCACCGGCCGCCAGGCTGTCCCGGAGCCGCAGCGGCACCCGCAGCACCACGTAGAAGAGGCCGAGCCCGGCGGCCACAGCCAGGAGCCCGCGGGCCCACGGGGCCGCCGCCGCCACCCGCCGCCTCAGCTGCTCCCAGCGCCGCAGCGCCGCGGCCGCCCCAGGGCACGGAGGCCCCCGGCCGCTCCCGCCGCTATCCGCCATGGCCGCCGCCGGGGGACGCCGGGAGAGGGGCGGGCCGGGCGGCGGGGCGGGGCGCGGCGGGCTCCACAGGCGCGGGCAGAGCGCTCCCCAGGCCCATCACCGCTCCTGCACCGGCGGGGCGCGGGTCGAGCGTCCCGGGGAGCCCCGCAGGGCCCCGCGGCTGCCACTGCCGGCGGCTCCGCCAGCGCGGCCCTTCCCGGTCCGCCCGCTCCTGCAATGGCCGCCACCGCGGCGTCTTGCCCGCAACTAAGATGGCGCTGAGCGCGCTTCCGGGCCAACCCGGCGGCGGCGCGCGGTCGGCCGCTCCCGGCATGCTCCGCGCGGGGCCGGGCCCAGAGCTGCCAAAATGGCGGACTTCGAAGACCGGGTGTCGGATGAGGAGAAGGTAGGGAAGGAGCCGCTGTTCCACGGCGGGATCGGACCCCTGTCCCCACAGCACCCGCGGGAGGGTAGCGGGCGGGAGGTGGTGAGGAGGGTCACCCGTTCCCGGTATGCTGGTCTGTGGCCCGGTCTCCCGTCGCCTCCGGGTGGGCGGGCCCCCGAGCCCGGCCGGGCCGCTGCTGCCCTGGTGAGAGGCCGGCGGCCGGGGATCAGCGGTTACCGCAGCAACTCTTTGCTTTTCGGTTTGTTTCGGTGCAGCTGAGGTGGCTCGGCGTGTCTTTGTGCGTGGAAATACATTCTTTGGTCTTCCGCTTTCTCTTTCCTGGTCAACAAAGTTAGCGGCGTCTTCAGAAGGTGCTGTGCAACCTATTGGGCTCCAAAACGCCTTCAGAGCATGTCTTCACGTTTTCTGCTTGCCTCAGCTGCTGACAGTAACTTTGATGTTGATCCTACAAATTATACTGGGTGGAATAGAATCACAGAATCAGCCAGGTTGGAAAAGGGCTGTAAAATCAAGTCCAGCCGTTCTCCCGGGTCTGCGAGTCCCCCACTAACCCATGTCACTGATGGACTAAGCAGAAGCAAACTGGCAGCACTGATGCCATTTAACACATGAAACTTGCCTTTTCTGCCAGGTAACGCTAGTTGCCTACAACAGTAGTTAAAAATCCACTGTTACTCTTCCTTACATAATAACAGAGACTACATGTAGCTTTTTGCTTTGTTTCTTAATGATCTGGAGGAGGTATTAAGCTCATGGATCTTCAAGGATCTTGCAAGTCTGGAGATTGCTTTCATTTTTCCCTTAAACTGCCTGTTTCAGCTTCCTTACAATGACATTCATTGTGAATCAAGCAGAGCTTTAAAGGTGCAGCTCATCCTTTAGTTAATATTTTAGATGGCATGAGCATTGTTGGAAACGGAAATTCCAGAACTGAATTCAAATGGCCTTTAGCACGTAACTGAGATCTATCCAATGGTGTATAAACTATTTTCCCCTGGCATCATTTGGCTGAATTTCACTTGAAGTGATACAACTGAAGTTATCATTGCGTCTGATGTGAAAATGAAAACAAACCTGAAGCTTGCATCAAGGCCTGGGATTTAGTCTGGGACTGAGAGCTGGTGGTGCAAGGACTTGGGGTCACTGGGTGGGGTTTTTCCTCCTTTTGCTGCATTCATCTGAAATTTGCGGTTCTTTCAAAGCACATGCAGGGAAGCAGTGTCCTTCAAGAAGTGGACTGCGCTTCCCCCAAGTGCTGTACCTGGCAGAGTAGATGAGATTTCACTTGAAATCGGAGCTTACATTCTATTAGATGTCCTGGCTCAGGCAACCTAGATTCAATTTAAAGCAGCTCCATGCCTAGCATGGGTAGAAAAGGATAGAGAATCTGAAAAAGAAACATACAGTGAAGATTTACCATAGGATCCATTTCATAACCTTTTAGATAGGTCTGGACCTTTTATATATGGTTCCTTTTTTAAGTCTGAGTTTGCCAGTGCTTCAAGATAAACAAAATGAATTCATTGCATCCCCTGCCAAGCCTCACTTCTTTATTCTCTGTATTTTAGGTAAATTAAGGGATTCATTTTAGTTTAAGGTCTTCTGCAGCCTACCCTATTGTCTACTTAAGTTCATCGTGCTGCCATTTTGCCACTTACACTCATGGCTGAGCAGCTTCTCTCAGCCACTTTCCCCATTTCAGCAGCAGGAAGCGAGTTCTGCTGGCATGGTGCACAGCACCTGAAATGGCAGCGCTGGCCAGGAAGTAGGTCAGCTTGCAGAAGTCTTGTTTTGGTGCTTCTGCAAATGAACATCCTGTTATGTGCTGACACCACTTTGAAACAAAACAAGTCTCAAAACCAACTGCAATTCAAATGCTTGACATTTAGGATTAATTACTCCGCAGCCTGTTTCCTGCACTGCACTCCTGAATTCAATAGTTTGATTTAAATGCTTTGTATTTAAGGTTGGATGGGGCTTGGAGCAACCTGCTGTAGTAGAAAGCGTCCCTGCCTGTGGCAGGGAGTTGGAACTGGATGAACATTAAGGTCCATTCCAAACCAGACTGTTCCAGGATTCTGTGATTTTATTACTCCACACAAGAGACAGGGCCAGGGATCCCTTAGAAAAGTGAACGCCATTCACTGGCGGCATTTTCTTTGTTGATGGCTGGTTTTGTGATAGCATTTGATTGAAATGCAGGCTCCATTCTGTTTTGGCTTAATTTTGTTCATCCTTCCAAGGAAAAAGAGTTTGTGGAAGACTAAAAATCTCTCCTGTAATATTTACTTTGGTTTTGGTTTGTTTTTTCTTTTTTTTCCTACTTTTTCCACAAGGATCTGTTTATGAGAATCTATTGATCTAAAAGCTTATTAAAACAGTGTCCCTTTTATGAGGGTTCCATGTACAGTGCAATTCTGCAGCCACAACACGGATGAATAAATTCATAAAATACTAAATTTTATGTCTTTTTAGGGGCCTTATTTTTCCATATGTTGAAGCACCTCATAGAAGGGAATCTATTCATCTGGGGAGTTAATTTACAGGATGTATTCTAGTGCAGTCCTCCCACTGACAGGCATCACAGCATGAAGTGCTTTAGCACAGTGCCACACTTCAGCACAGGGAGACACCTGCGCTAGTGCTTCCACTCATGCTTTCTTAGAAAAGCACATGGTGTCATTTCAGAAGCCCCTCAGCTATTTTGGGCTGGCTCTCAGCAAAGGCCACAGAGAATATAAAGCAGAAATATCTCTCTTAGTTACTTATACATTATCTTCATCACCTTCCAAATATCTGACAGTGAAATGTAACAAGACTGTGGCAGCAGTCTCTCCTTGTTACAGTTCTGTAGATAGTGAAAACTTTGAAACAGCCAGAGCTACGTTTTTAGGATTGCTGGATACTAACAAACCTTATCTAGAAGCAGAAAACTAGGAGAAAGGACTTTGCTATTCTGTATTGCAGCAACTACACAAGTCCTTTTAGGGTTTCATTTGTATTGCAGAATTACTTAAAGCATGAAGATAATAGATGCTCAGTCCAGTTAAGGCAGAGCTGTTACTCAACACTGTTGGAATAAGGCAATGTACCCTTTGTTTGGGAAGCTGTTATTTATTTCCTTTCATGGCTTGCTTTAAATCATTATGTGACAAACAATACAAACAACAATTAAGAATTAAAGCAGGGAGTACGGTTGAGAGAAGCAAGTTATGTACAGCTCTGGCATAATTCAGCTGAAGAGGGTGGATGTATGCACGTTCCTTTGGTTTACTGCTCAGAATGAAAAGTAGAAAAAGTAACCAGGGTTGTCATGAGCACTGTTCTGCAGTCACCTTCAATAAATGGCTGAGGCAGGAGGGCTCATTGCCCAGCTGCTTAGCTGTGCTTATTGCAAGGAATGTGACTTTTATTATTCCAAGGGAGAGTTTTAATTTGTGACATTTCCTGTTTCAAGTGTTCCAAGATGAGTCTGTTCCTTTTGGGCCTGTAAAAACCATAAAAGATTTGATTTTGAAAACCATAAACTCACTAGTTTCAGCAAAAACAATTCCTAGACCACCTAAGTTCCATCAGTGCAAGACATGTATATTGGATTTCAGAGCACAGTGCAGGTTTATTACTTTTTAGAAGAGAATGGGGTTTTTCTGTTCCAGCTTCAAAGGTCTTTTCATTTATTTATTATATCACTCACAGCTTCACGTCACTGAGTTCTGCCACTACTCTGACACTTCATGGCTGAGCTACAGACCAGTTTCCAAGAAAACACTACAAGATGGGAGGAGTAACATGCAACAGAATGGCATAAATGGTGTGTCTGCTGCTCAGGGTTAGGAGGGACCAAGGCAGCATTAGAGGATCACAAAAAACAACCCCAACACCTTCTCAAATTTGAATGCTTTCACTTGGAGGCTCTTATCTGACTTTTCTGGTTCATTTTGGCACTTTTCCTTGCCCATTTCTGCCAGTTCCCAGCTTTTTACCTTGCGTCTCCATAGCGCCTTGTGCATGCTGAGCACATAACGTGGCTTTTCAAAGTCCATGGGGTATAATTAGCTGTGGAAGCAGTGCCATGGCAGTTGATGTAATTGATTTACTGCTCCATTTCTAGAGGGATCAGCCTCTGCTACTTCACATGCTTTTTGCTGTGAAGCTGTGGCATCTAGTTCAGCCAGTCATCAGCAACAAGCAAGTTGCATCACAGGGAATCACAGTGTCCTGCAATATAAGGTGTAAGGTTCTCTGAGTGCAAGGTGCTGCACATGGGTTGGGGCAGTCCCAAGCAGAAATACAGGCTGGGTGGAGACCAGATTGAGACAGCCCTGAGGAGGACTTGGGGGTTTTGTGCAATGAGAAGCTCCCCATGACCCAGCAGAAAGTACTTCCAGCCCAAACCAACAACCCTGATGTGGGCTGCATCCCCAGAGCACAAACAGACTGTGTGAGCAGTCGAGGGAGGGGATTCTGCTGTGTTCTGGTGAGACCCACCTGCAGTCCTGATCCAGCTTTTGGGCCCCCAGCATAAGAAGAACATGGAGCTGTTGGTGTGAGTCCAGAGAAGGCCATGGAGATGCTGTGAAGGCTGAAGCAGCTCTGCTCTGGAGCCAGGCTGAGAGAGCTGGGCTGGGTCAACCTGGAGAAGAGAAGGCTCCTGAAGGGGAGACCTGAGAGCAACTCCAGTGCCTAAAGGGGCTACAGGAAACCTGGAGAGGGGCTTTGGACAGGGGGATGTAGGGACAGGCCAAGGGGAATGGCTTGAACCTGCCAGAGGGGAGACTGAGATGAGCTCTTAGGCAGAAGCTCTTCCCTATGAGGGTGCTGAGGTGCTGGCACAGGGTGCCCAGAGAAGCTGTGGCTGCCCCATCCCTGGCAGTGTTCAAGGCCAGGTTGGACACAGGGGCTTGGAGCAAGCTGCTCTAGTGGAAGGGGTCCCTGCCCATGGCAGGGGTTTGGAACTGGATGAGCTTTAAGCTCCCTTCCTACGCAGACCACTATGATGTGTCAAACACTCCTTAGTTCTGAGGTTGTGCTGTAAGTTACCATCTAGTTACAATTACACTTCTACTCCAGTGGTTTCTTATTCTTTGTGTATCTTGCCATTTAGCTGACTGATTACAGTTCACAGGTGCCCATGTGAAGTTTGAGCTTCTTCCTGAGTACATTTAGAATTATTCTGCTACATTACACTAAAAAATCTAGTTTTAAGAGATTATTTCTACTTTGACAGTGCATGCCTAGATTTCTTCCTAAATCTGGCACTTCTATCACTGTCAGAGTTGATATTGATGGTGAATTGCTTCAGTGTAGGTTGCAGTATGTGTGAACTCAGTAAATTACCTCTAGTCCTTTTGTGCTTCTCTGTAGGTGCGTATAGCTGCAAAATTCATCACTCATGCACCCCCTGGAGAATTCAATGAAGTGTTCAATGGTAAGTAAAAAAGGTAAATTGATCGGTAGTGTTTTCTTCACATTTCATGTATTATAAGAGTCTAAGGCTCTGTCACAATACAGTGCTTTTAAGGTTAGGAAGTGGTGAGGGAAATGCATGCTGTCATCCTGTGACTACACATGCTTAATGAAATGGTGTAATCATTTTAATGTTTGTATTTGCCCAGTTGGAAATGAAATGCATGAAAAGAAACATTTGATTAAAACCCCAATAACCTGCACTCTCTGTTCTCCAGATGTCCGGTTACTGCTCAGCAATGACAATCTTCTCAGGGAAGGAGCAGCACAGTAAGTACTAATATTTCAAACACATGTCAAATTACCATCAGAGATGCATGTTTTCCTACACCCATCACTCTGTGACAAAGCCATCTATTTGTTATATTGAGAGCAATCTTCTGTTATTCCTTATCCTCCCAACAAAATACATATTGAAAGGCATGGATGATTCTTTTTAAAGCCCTAAGTCAGAATTTATACTGTAGAGGCCATATAAAACTGACAGGAAGGCACTCTGCCAAGAAGTTTTAACTCTGCAGCAGCAGGAATGTCTGATCTTGCTGAAGCATGATTTGGAAAGCAAGTGGAGCCTGAAATACTGAGTAATCCTTAGCTGAGGTTCAGAAAAAGAACTGCCCTGAAAAGAAGAGCTTTCAAAATACCTTGTTTACTTACACAGTCTCATCAGAAGGTGTTTAAAGATTATTGCACACAAGCTTTTTGATGCTAAGATCTTCCTGCAAGCTATGTGACATGTCACTCAGCAGGTCTTTGCATAAGAAGATTGTTGTGAATATTAGGCTACTCCTTTGCTTACCTCGCTGCTGTCTGAATGGGAGCTGGGGTGTTCCTGTTTTGGCCTGCTCACGTTCCCCCAGGCTGCCTGCTGTTCCACTTTTGAACTCTGTTCTTCCCTGATCATCACTAAAAGAAACCTGGCTTCAGACCTGGGGTTTTATAGCTATCTTTAATAAAAGGCATTGAAAAATCCTTTAAAAGTGCTCATGTGTATTATTTGCTAAGTTAGTTAAAATTTTCTATAATATAAATCATACCATGTACTACTTTTGATTGTACATTTAACTGTAGTCAAATAGATGTGCATGTACAGCTAAAGTTCATGTTCTCTTAATTCTTACAGTGCATTTGCACAGTATAACATGGATCAGTTCACTCCGGTGAAGATAGAAGGGTATGATGATCAGGTAAGGGAAGACACTCTGCAGTTGAGTTTTGTATTACTACACTGTGCAAACCCAATAAAAATGTTCCATCAAGATGTTGGCTAGCTTCATTCTACTTAGAAGTTACCACCTCTTCTCCTCTCCCCACATCATTCTGTTACCAACCTTTTGTTCTTATAGAAGCAGCATAAGTAAAATGTTCTTCTAAAGCATTGTCTGATACTACCCAGTAACTAATTCATCGTCCCTTAAGTAAAGCTCCTTGCTGAATGCTCTTAAATAGGAGTATGAACAATTAAAGATTATTGTTTGTTTAAAGCTCACTTGCAAATCCTTATGTTGCTGCCTGCTTACAGCTCCTACTGACAAGCAGTAATAGATTCATTTTCTGCATTTTTAACCCATTCCCAGCTACTGTACAAAGTATGTCTGGTCTGTTCACCAAGCCAGGTGCCTCCATAGCTTTTCTGCTCTCCCAGATATGTTCATGGGAGGCAAGTATTTGAGAGGGCTGTCCATAGAAATATCTTTGACAAGAGAAAGTTACAGAACAGCCTGCAAAAACCCCAAAATCAGTATTTGGGAAGCCAGAGAATTATGGTGAATAAGACAAAGGAGAGGGGAGGTACAGTGCTACTTTGCTGTGTACTTTACTTGGTGTTTATTAGAAATAGCCACATCTCTGTACCCTTCTTCACCAGAAGGAGAGCTATTGCAGCATGAAGCATGACAATAAATGCTAAATCTCAGAGTAAATTTTTTTTATTCCTTCAGAAACGAGAAAGGGAAACAGCAAAAATAACTTCAAAAGCAGAACCATCTGTTTGTACTGTAAGGATGCCCAACTTTAGGCTAAACTTACACATTATTATAATATAGCCATTTCTGGGAGAGAAAACTAAGTGCAGTACTACTGTGAAGAGCAGAGTTTAACTCCAGCCTCATTAAGCTACTCTTAGTTGAAATTATTACTGAAAAACATTTTTTCTTTAAGTGGTATTATAGCTCAAAGAAAGAATCTATGAAACATTGATATCTATTCTGATAAGGAAAAACACTAAGCACCACATTTACAGCAGCATATCTTAATTTCAACTTCTTTTACAGGTCTTAATCACAGAACATGGTGATCTGGGCAATGGCAGATTTTTAGACCCAAGAAACAAACTTTCTTTCAAGTTTGACCATTTAAGGAAAGAAGCAAGTGACCCGCAGCCTGAGGACACAGAATCAGCTTTGAAGCAATGGAGAGATGCCTGTGACAGTGCATTGAGAGCTTACGTGAAAGATCATTACCCCAATGGCTTCTGTACTGTTGAGTATCCATCTTTCCCTGAAAGTTCATTGTTCCATGTCAGGTGCTTTGTGCTGGGCAGTGCTGTTGGAATTCTCCAGCCTCACGAGTGTTTTCAACAATTTTAGAATAAGAAGTTCCAAAGAGGGTGCAAATATTTTGTTTGCACACAGTATTAGATCTTCTTTCTCATAGTCATGACTACCAACCACCTGAGCACCTTTGGTTAAATAACAAGAGGCATAATTTGTTCATGTGAAGGTGTTGCACAATGTCATTAGTGGTGTATGTTCCCAGTGCAATACCACAGTAGCAAGCCTCCACAATGCTGCCAAGAACAGAAATGAAGAATGGCTTTCCTCTGCTCTTGGGCCTTTTTAACTCTTTTTTCTAAACACAGGTTTATGGTAAATCTATAGATGGGCAGCAGACAATTATTGCCTGTATTGAGAGCCACCAGTTCCAGCCCAAAAACTTCTGGTAAGACTATTTCAATGTAGTTTATTTTCTTCCTTTACTGGTCCTCGAACAAACCGATCCTCTATGTTTTGTGACACAGTCTGAAGAGCAAATAGTTTTGGGCTTCCAAAGAAGTTCTTTCCTCATTCTGTAGTCTCTTTTCCTTGCAGCCCCCTTGGCACTTTCCTAAAGCTTTCGGTGTGGCTCAGTGACATACCCAGAGAGAAAGGTTTTAGCAGAGGCAGACAGATACCCCCTTACATATTCCAGAGCTACTGGAGCTAGTCTGTGCTGAAGCTGCATGGGGTTTTGCTGTGCTTCAGAAACTTAATTCAGTGCCATGCAAGGCACTGTAACACTGGTCATAAGCTGACAGCAGAAACAACTTGCTCTGGTTAGTTTGGTTCTTTTTGTTTGAGCTTTTTGGAAATGGTTTTCATGCTTTGCTTATGTTAGGAACGGTCGTTGGAGATCAGAATGGAAGTTTACCATCACACCACCAATGGCTCAGGTGGCTGCAGTGCTCAAAATCCAGGTGGGTTACTTTTTCTGGCAGTAACAGAAAAGGGCTGCATCATGCTTCCCTTACGCAAATGCATTTGACTCAGAATGAGATGCTGAAGTGTAGCCAAGATGTCCTCCTCAAGTCAAGATGCTATTACAATTCAAGAAGTTAAATGTAGTGTTTCAGACATCATCTACAGTCTGGCCTGTGGTTTATTATATAGCATTACCCTATAGGCCTCCAACTCGGCTTCACGTTATATGGCTAAAACCTATACCATGAATTTTTTTATAATTGCTCTTATTTCAACTCTAGGCGTTTACTGCATTAACATAATCTTGAACAGTCTTGACAAAGAATGAAACCTTTTAGAAAATCCATCCTGCTTTTAGTCTCCACGTAAGCAGAGAAGACTGGCACAACGATGCTGTTGTGCCATTCTGGTAGCATTGGGGGCTCTAGGGATTGCAAAATGAGTGTTAATGATAACCTGCATTTTGTTTCTCTGTTCAGGTTCACTATTATGAAGATGGCAATGTTCAACTGGTTAGTCATAAAGATATCCAGGACTCTGTACAGGTTTCGGTAAGTATGATAAAAGATGGGTTTATGATAAAGCAATCGTTTTATTCCTTAAACACTTCATGACCACATTGTCTTGATTTGAGAGTAATATAACTTTAGGGTGACTAGTCAGCATAGTTGTAGTGTTTAGAGTCACATGGGAAACACATTCTCAGTTGCTTAGACTGTATTAGGAGTCTCTATTGGAAAGCTTATCCTACAAGATTCGGTTCAAGAGGCCAAAATGTGCTTTTCTGTCTAAGTGCAACTGTCTGTGAACAGTTAAGAGCAGTATACTAAGGGAAAATAAGTCCTCAGTACAGTGGAGGGAGCAACAGTCCTGAAATGCCTAATTCTATGCCATGAAGGTCTACTTCCCTTCTGCTCGCTAGGGTGCAGTAGTGCTCCAGTTTGGAGCACAAGCTTCAGCAAGTACATGAAATCGTAGAACAGTTAGGGTTGGAAAGGACCTTAAGGTCATCTAGTTCCAGCCCCCTGTCTTGAACCTCAACATGAGGCAGAAGTTACTGAAGTTTTCCACTTCATCTATACTCAGCCTATCATTTGAGAAGAAACGCATCATACAGCTTCTGTAAGTTGGTCTTAAACATAGAAATTTCTTTTTCCCCTTTGTAGAGTGATGTCCAGACAGCCAAGGAATTTATTAAGATAATAGAAAATGCAGAAAACGAGTACCAGGTAAGATTAGTGGTGGTTAAATAAGCATCAAAGAATCACAGAATGACTTGGGTTGGAAGGGACCTTAAGGATTATCTAGTTCCACCCACCTATAATGGAATCATGCCAGTCTCCATTTACAGCTAATGGAAACATGGAAAACTGACCTTTAATTCTGTCTCTGGCTGAATCTGATATCGATTGTAAGAATTACTTAGGAAAGGGCAGCAGTATTTGTTTAAAGAACAAATTTTAAAGGTATTTGTAATTAAGAATCAGGTTTGCTGTGGGGTTATCTTAAATGGCTACAAATGATCCCTGGAACAAGCATGGAAGAGGAATGGGCAAGTCTATGAATCTTCCTCTGGGATAGTTAAAAATACTAAAGAGGAAATTTGTGTCACAGCTTTTTCTATTGTCCCAGCTTGCATATAAAGAAACTCAGTACAGGTAAGTCAGTGAAACACCAAAGGAGATACCATTAGGTTTATAAGGGGAATTTATAGAGACCCTTTTCTTTACACACGCCAGTGACTGTTGCGTGTCTTCTCCCCATAGAAAAGGGTTGTGGACTTTACGGTGATGCTTTCTCAGAGTGTCTTACTACTGCTGTCACTGCTTGCCTTTGCAGACAGCAATCAGTGAGAACTACCAGACGATGTCAGACACCACTTTCAAAGCCTTGCGCCGGCAGCTTCCTGTCACCCGCACCAAGATCGACTGGAACAAAATCCTCAGCTACAAGATTGGCAAAGAGATGCAGAACGCTTAACCCGGGAACGGGGAGATGAGGAAATGTTTGTGTGCAAAAAACAAATGTGGTCCTATGCCAAGTAGATGGTTTCTAAACCAGTGCAGCGTTTTTCTAGGGCTTTCAAAGTTAACAGGTTTTCTAGCCTCAGAGAGAACTGTGGAACAAATAGCATTGTCTTTGTGTTTTGTGTTTCCTGCTGCATAAACTTCCTGTTGTGACTGCATTTACTGATAGGTTGTTTTAATTAAGCCACATTTCATGGCTCAGAAGTGTAGCTGTTTTCAATCACTGGTTGGAAAACTTCCTAGCTGGAAAAGCCCTATTATAAATACAGCTGAGGGTGCAGAGCATTCCCCTCACCCATGTACAGCACTCCAGGTACTCCAGTAAGTTTGTCAAATCTGCCAACAGCCCCCAGTGCTATGCTGCAAGATACAGTAAATGCAAGAGACAGCGAGTCCTCGTGTAGCCTGACCTCCACAGAGCAAAAGCCTGCAGGCTTAGGTTGTACTATATCAGATGAGTTTACAAGACCCTTTACAGAACCCCCCCTGCCACGCAGCCAGCTCTTCCAGGGACACAATTAGTGGGTTTTTAACCTGAAGATTTGAGCCATGTTCCCTAAAAGTGAACGTTTTTGCTCTCCCCTCCCCTGTGTGTGTACGGTTATCAGGCATCTGCATTTTTACAGAGCTGCAAGCTCCTGTGTTGAATCACTGCTGATCCATGTAGGCTGGATGGTGATTAAAGATGCAAGTGTCTACAGAACAATAGGTATGTTGTGCTTCAATGCTTTGTGGCAGGTTCCTAGAATTTGTATCACAGGTGTATGGATGGATAGTGTACAAAATAAATAAACTTGCACCAAAGTGAGAGAAAAAACCCTTTCCATTTTGTCTCAATCATGGCCAGTTTCTTACTATCTTAAAGGGGATTTTAGAATCAATCTCTTGCTCTCCCAGTGCTTGCTCTGTTGCTTTTCTTCCCCCCGTAAAAGCAAAAACAGTCCTACAAGTTTCGCTGTAAGGGGAGGCTGAAGAAACATGTTTCTGCCTTTCAGGCAGAACTCAGAACATGTATTCACTGCAAAATTAAACCTTTGGTGAGCTTGCTTTGCTTTGTTTGCACTTGGTTATCACTGGGCCTTCCTGCAGTTGTGGTTTTTAAACTGGCTAGTGTCTTCCTGGGTTTAAATACACAAATGGGTTGGGATGGGGCTGACTGTGCATTCCACTTCAGGCTTTGCCCAGTAACATCACAAAAATAAGTGTGTCTATCCTTTGTGAGAAGTTTTGTCTAAATAAAATATATTTGTATTTGCTGTTGAGACTGACCTTTCATCCTCCAGGCACCCTCTGTATCCAACAGTCTAGTGAAAATACACTGGTCTTTGTTTTAAAGCCATCTGTGTCTGGTCTTTCCTGGTTTTGCTTGTGTTAGCTCCTGCTGGAGGCAGATCAACAGGCATCAGCCCGAAATCGGGGCTGGTGTTGTACGCAGACCCACAGGTGATGCTCCCAGAACTTTCCAATTCAAAGAGCACTGATTGAAGCCCTGTGCATGCAGGAAAGCAGCAAATGAGGTTGTTCCACTCCTCATGGGAACACCTACAGCACCTTTCCTCCTCAGCTCATGAAACACTGGCAGTGGGTTGCATGCTGTGCCAGGTGAAGCAGGACCATCTCTTTCTGAGGTGCTGCATGCCACCAAGCAAAGAGGTGCTCAAGGCCAGTGCTCCAGTGGACAGTGTTTGTAGAAGAGTCACCTCCCTGCCTGTGGTGCCCAGAGTTGAAAGGTTGTGTGGACAAACAAAGGTCCTGTGCTCTGTGGCCATGGTCCCATCCAGACAAGCGCTGCAGTAATTCCAAGAATGTGGAGCAGAAGCAAGGCCCAAGATAATGCTGTGCACACAACAGGGCTTTTATCTGCCTCAAGGCTTTTCCCCGCTCTGGGTTAGTTACACTGTGAGCAGCTCACCACCTCCTGTTCCAGCCTGAAGGCTGTTTCTATCTCTCTGTCCTTCTCCAAGTCTTTAGCTAATCATCCTTTAGGGCAACTCATTCCCTGCCCACTCCTGGCCCTTCTCCCCCACCAGCCTTCTTTACTTCAGGCTCAGCTATCCCAGTCTTAGCTCCTTCCCAGCTCCTATTTTTTCCTTGGAAAACCAGCTCTTTGTGTGACCAATCACCACTGGAGCACTAAGGAAGCACCAGCCCAGCAGTGACACATACCCAGAAGCATCCTAATCCTTAAAGTTGCGGCCTGTGGTCTGCTGGAGACTAAAGGCTTCAGTGGAGATTGAGGCCACCTCTGGAGCAGCACATACCCTGTGCTGGCTCTGCTGAAGTGTGCAAGAGTCAATCTGACCACGGAGGAGTCGTGGTGAGCCGGCACTGCAGCGTGAGCGAGTCAGGGAAGGCAAAGCCAGCCCAGGCAGCAGCAGGGCTATTCAGCTGCACCAAATGGAGAGAGCTTTTTCTATCGGTTTGCAAGATCAAACCTTAAAGCTCCAAGATTCTGCCTGCAATATGTGACAGAAAGACCGACAAGCAACTTCTCCAGAGGCTACATCTCCATTTTCCAAGCCTCAGAGCCATCAAACAGCCTACAAGGAGCCCTCCACCATGGGTCTATCAGGCATCTCCAGGCAGCAGCGCATTCTCGGCATGGCCTGGGGCAGAGGAAAGACCACCCATGCTAAAACCAGGGAAAACAGCAGACTTACCCCAAGACACCCAGGCCACAGACAGGGCCCAAGCAGTGCTTTGAGCAGTCCCAGCGTCTGGAGCCGTTTCACAGGGGCAGGTCGGGGATCACCATCCTCACCGGGCAGGCTGGAGGGTGAAAGAACAGTAAACCAGGTCCTGCTGCTGCCCTATTTATAGAGCTCCTGCCTCTCATCATTGGATACAGCCCTGCCAGCACCTGGGCTCCTCTCCTGCCCCCCCGGGCAACTCCAGCCAGTGTTACTGGCCGGGGGTGGCGACAAGCCCAGACCTCTGACACCCACCGCTCGGCTCCCCCAGCGCTGCACTTCTGGGGTGCCCCTGTGGGGTACGGGGCAGGGGATGCACCCCTCGGGGGTCCGGGCTGAGCCATCCCCACAGTCTCGCGTGGACCACGCAGGCGGGACCCCCCCGTGGGGTGCGGGACCCCAGGAAGTGCGGGGCGATAGGGCAGGATCCGGTCCCTCCCGACCGCCCCCCCCCCCCCGCGAACCACTGTGCGGGCGGGCCCGCAGCGCGCACGGCCCCTTTCGCTTTCGTTTCCCCTTACGGGGAGAGCTCCAGCCCAGCCCGGCACAACCCTGAGCACCTCCTCCCGGCTCGGTCCTGTTCAGCCATGCCACGGGTCAGCGTAGTGGAGGCCAGGCTGCGGGGGGATGAGTTCGTGCAGTTCCTGCGGGACACGGGCCGGGAGCAGGAGAGGCGGCGGGACACGCTGCGGGGCATCTACAACCAGGAGTTTCGGTACAGGTGAGAGCGCTTGGCCAGACCCGGGCAGCATCGCCTGGCACTGACACCCCCCCCCCCCCCAGCATTGCCTACTCCCCCTGGCCAGCATCACTGGTCCCCAGCCAGCATCACTGGGGCTTCACATGGAGTGTGAAGCCAGCTCCAGTGGGGTGTGCTGGGGAGCAGTGTGTGGGGGGGGTCTTCAGGGTCTCTCCTTTGTCATCTGCCTGGTGTGATGGAAGAGCTTTGCTTTCTGAGCAGCGAGGACCACCGGGGCCTGTTAAACACGGGCTCTGCTCCCTCGAGGCATGGATTAAACCAAGCACCACTGGGATCTGGAAGCAGAAGGGACAGAGCGGCCCCTCCGCACACCAGCCCACATGCCCCCGAGCTCCTCTATTGCACCACAGCCGTGCTGGGATGTTATCCAGCTGCATGCCCCCCACCAGCAGCCACCTGGGCACAGCTTCAGACCCCCAGTGCCTGCCTCACCCCATTGACACCGGTCACGCTGGCTCCTGCCCAGTGTCACCACTGTTAATCATTGGCAAAGCCCGGGTGTGGGGGGAGAGACCTGGGAAGCGCAGTAGCCGTGCCTTGGAGGAGCTGCCATCTGCGCTGCTGCTGTGCAGGGGGTGACCCCTCTGGACAGCCTCTGTTCAGGGTCTGGGAATGGGGACATGTCCCTGCCCATTCCTTCTCCCTCTCCTGGCACAGCAGGCAGCCACCGCGTGCTCCTCACCCCAACCTCAGCCCTGCTCCAACTTCCCTTGTTCCCACTTTGCCTCCTCTCGGCTGCAGCGCTGAGCACAGCCCAGCCGTGCTCTGTCCCCCCCCAGAAACCTCTCCCTTGTCTGTGCAGGACTGAAACGAGAATGCCCAGCTTCTCCTGTGTCCTGTACGCGCTGAAGGTGACCCACCGGGTGCAGGTTCAAGGGGAGCTGGTGCGCTTCAGGAAGGTGAGGGATGCCGTGGGCTGGGGCCGTGCAGCAGTAGCAGCACTGGGACTGGCTCTGCTGGAGCTGCACCTGGGGCCATGCTGATACTGGTTGCTCCCTGCAGAAACAGCAGCGCGTGGTGGTGGCAGACCAGTACTGGAGACCCAGAGCGAAGGCAGCGGCGCCAGTGTCCACATCTGCCTCAGGGCAGCAGCCCAGCTCCCGTCCTCGAGCACCCCTGAGCCGTGCCAAGAAGTGGTATGAGCAGCAGCACCCTGCCCGCACCCGCAATGCCCTGGGGTATCCCGTGCCTCACTTGGAAAACCTGTTCCTGCCTTCCCACAGGGCCGAGCTCATCAGCGAGAAGCACGGGGTGAAGATCTTCTCGGAGCATGACAAGGGCAACGGGCACATCCGCTTCCCGGTGGTGTGCGGCAAGCGCTACACGGTCACCGTGGTGGTGCAGAACCACGGAGCAGAGGCGGTGACGCTGCGGCGGTACCGGCCACGCAAGCCCTCCAAGGAGCTCTCCTTCACTGATGAGCAAGGGGTGACACAGGGCCAGTCACTGCTGCTGCACCCAGGTAGGGTCCATCCCTTGCACCCTGCCCTGTTCCGCTCAGGACCCAGCACTCACCTCTTGGCCGCGCAGGCGGCACATACCCCATCCAGGTGCAGTGCCTGGCCTCCTACAATGGGTACTTCCATGTCGTGGTGGACTTTGAGTTCATCAAGGAGCCGAATGTGTCCTTCAGCATCGGGCGCTGCATCGCTGCTGTCGCCGAGAGCCAGCTGGCCAAGGACCTGGGGCCCTCGGCACCGTTCCAGCCTTACCAGGCCAGCATCCAGCACCCTGTCACTGTTGTCACCGAGGATGGCATCCCCCCTGATGGGTATGTGGTGGGGTCATAGAATCATAGAATAGTTTGGGTTGGAAAGGACCTTAAGATCATCCAGTTCCAACCCCCCTGCCACGGGCAGGGACACCTCACACTAAACCATGGCACCCAAGGCCTCCTCCAACCTGGTCTTGAACACTGCCAGGGATGGAGCACTCACAACCTCCCTGGGCAACCCATTCCAGTGCCTCAGCACCCTAACAAGAAAGAATTTCCTCCTTAGATCCAATCTGAACTTTCCCTGTTTAAGTTTAAACCCGTCACCCCTTCATCCCTGCGCAGTGGCCCATGGTGGTGGGGCTGGGGACACCCTGCTTGGTGGGGACATGGGTGGTTGCATCCTGGGGGCACCCCAGCTCTGCAGTCCCTGTGGCACTGCTGTCCCCTCTGCCCAGCTTCCTGAAAAGCAAACTGGAGATGGAAATCCCGCTGTACACCTACCAGTACCCCAAGAGCCTCAAGGACACGATCCTGCTCGGACCCAGCAACGCTGGCTCCAGTTGGGCTGCCATGCAGTGAGTACTGAGGGATGGGGGCGACGCTGCCCATCCATACACCTGCCCCTGCTGCCCCTTAGCTGAGGTGTTCCCAGGGCACGGTGACATCCCTGCTGCCTTCAGGTCCATGCTGGAGGCTCCCCTCCAGGCTGGGAACTACCAGGAGAAGTTCCAGCTGCTGCTGCACCTCGAAGAGATCCAGATGGAGGTGGACATCCGGCGCTACGACATGGAGGACGTGCCCATGGTGCAGGACAGGGGGCTGCTGGTCCTCGACGTGCGTATGGGAGCCAGGGTGGGGGGCAGGAGGGGTGCTGGGTGTCCCGGGGGTGCCGGCATCACCCCAGCGTTGGGTGCAGGTCCCTGGTGTGGCTGAGAACCGCCCGTCAGTGCTGAAGGGGGATCACCTCTTTGCCAACCTGAGCAGCGAGCGGCACCTCTCCCCACTCGTCCAGTACAAGGGCTACGTGCACGGTGTGGAGCTGGAGAAGGTCAGCCTGGGCTTCTCCTCCAAGTGAGTGGTGTCCGGGCTGGCAGGGCCCTGCTTGGATGTGCCAAAGGTTTGGGCAGAGCCCAGGTGGGTGCAGGGAGCATCCCCGTGCCCTGCTCACGTGGCTCCTTCCCAGGCTGCAGAAGAAGTTTGTGAACAACCTGAGGTTCGATGTGACCTTCACCTTCAACCGGCTGCCGCTGCAGGTAAAGCACCGGGCGGCAGCCCTGGCCATGGAGCGTGGCTTGTCCAGCCTCCTCTTCCCCTCTGCCTCCTGCCACAAGTCCCTCTTCACGGGCACCTTCCAGCCACGGTGAGTGCTGTGAGTCGGGATGGGGATGGGGATGGTATAGGGACGGGGATGGGATAAGGATGAGGATGGGATAGGAATGGGGATGGGACGGGGATGGGATGGGATGAGGATGCGATAGGGATGGGGATGGGGCGGGGATGGGATAGGGATGGGGATGGGATGAGGATGGGACGGGGATGGGGATGGAGATGGGGATGGGGATGGGGATCGATAGGGATGGGGATGGGATAGGGATGGGGATGGGAACCCAACCCACTCTGCCTCTGCTCCTGCAGGTGGTTTGACCGCAAGCTGCAGGCGAATGAGGAGCAGTGCAGAGCTGTGACACAGATCGTGACAGGCATGTCCCGGCCAGCCCCATACCTTGTCTTCGGCCCCCCTGGCACTGGCAAGACGGTGACTCTGGTGGAGGCCATCAAGCAGGTGAGTGGCTGATGCCCAGGTCCAGCACTGGTCATGGGGCTCAGCACTGTCACCCCCTCCTCCCGCCTAGGTATGGACGTGCTTCAAGGATGCCCAGATCTTGGCCTGCGCCCCATCCAACAGCGCTGCAGACCTGCTGTGCCAGCGCCTCATCAAGGACATTGCCCCCCGGCACATCTACAGGCTCCTCGCCAGCTCCAGGAACTACGAGGAGGTGCCTGCTGACATCAAAGTAGGTCTCAATCCCTCTGTCCCAGCCCCTCCATCCCAGTTCATCTTTAATGGTGGCCCCCACAGAGAGCAGGATCCCACCAAACCCCTGTGTTTCAGCCCTGCTGCAACTGGGATGATAAGCAGAGCTGCTACGTGTACCCCAGCAAGGAGCACCTGGGGCGCTACCGGATCCTCATCACCACACTGGTGACAGCAGGAAGGTCGGAGGACCTGGGGTTGTTCCCACTGCCCGTGGCAGGGAAGCTCACGGGCTGCCTTGCAACCAGGCTGCAAGGGGGGTGTCCCAATGGGGTGCAGAGGAGGGTGGGCAGCAGCAGGGACCCCTTGTCTGCAGGAGGATGAGGACAAAGGGGGTGTGAGGCGATGCCCAGGGGGTGTGAGGGGATGCTAATGGGATGTGAGGGGATGCTAATGGGATGTGAGGGGATGCCAAGGGGATGTGAGGGGATGCCAAGGGGATGTGAGGGGATGCTAATGGGATGTGAGGGGATGCCAAGGGGATGTGAGGGGATGCTAATGGGATGTGAGGGGATGCCAAGGCAGCCTCACTCCACTTCCTCCCCAGGCTGGTGTCGGCCAACTTCCCCCCGGGATATTTCTCCCATGTCTTCATCGATGAGTGTGGCCAGGCAGTAGAG